AGACTCGGAGGAGGAAGAGACACGTAGTACCTGATGTGTATGCGACTATGCGGTGGTCTGCATGGGCGACTTGGACATGTACATTGCTCTTCCGCTGGAGAGTTTCCTCGTTGCATCATTGTAGCTGTAGGCTAGTACAGGTACTGAGTAGCAGTAGGCTGGGCGCTGAACGTCAATTGAGAAGAGCGACATTGGATACATTGTGGGGGGGTTTGTCGGCTCGTTTTTGTGGGAGATTCCATCTCCACTCCAGCAGATCAAAGGCCAACTCGTGAATGCCTGTTTGTGGTTGTGACACGAACTCATGGAGTTCCTGCGCCACGCCTTTTTCCGGTACCCTGACACGATATAGGATTGCCCTACCCTCCATTCAAAGGGTTCCCTGCTTCCCCGAAGGGCACCTGCCCTGGTAATAATAAGATAGTTACTGTACTTGACCAGGGCTTTTTGTGGTTCAGTTATGTGGGACTCGGCCAACTCGTTCTGGGTCCCCCCGGAACCCCCTCCCTCAAGGTGGGGCCCTGCCTGAGGGTTTGATAGCATGTCAGGGAGACAGTTTCAATCAAGGTGTCCAGCTGTTGCTCAATGTGATGGGCGTACAGGAGGGTGTCGCGCAGCTGGTCCGCTGTTTTCCAGTCCGTCAGCCACCGATTGCCAAAGTGGGGCTGTCGGAAGGTGGGGTCTGTTCGGGAGTGGGTGTTTGCGCCAGCTCTCCAGCAGGGATGACCAGTACGTTTCCGAGTCTTTTTTCATGCTACCGCAACTTTTGGGGGTGGGCAGCCGAAGCAAAATGGCTGGCAGCACCAGCCAAAACGAGGCCCGCACCATTTTTTGTTTTTCCGCCATGCGAGGCGTTTGCGGCCCCAGGCAAAAGTGGCTCGGAAGTACCGGTGGTCTCAGAGACTTGGCTCTTGTGGTCAATGGTGCCAGTTCGATTCCGCGCATGCACAGATGGGCCTGAGGCCAGAACGTATGGAAAATAACAACTTTCACCATGGTTTTTTTTTTTTTTTTTTTTTTTTTTTTTTTTTTTTTTTTTTTTTTTTAAAAAAAAACAACTGCAATAACCCGTTCGATATGCCTCGTAACCTGTCTGAGGCGGGGCTGAATTTCCGGTCCTACCGGGGGCCCTTCCCCCACCGGAACCGGGCCGGTGGCACCGGCCGGTGGACCGCGCCGGTTCCCCCCCGGTGGACCGCGCCAGTTCCCCCCTGGTGGACCGCGCTGGTTCCCCCCCGGTAGGAAATTGCACCGACAGGTAGCGGCCAATTTCGAATTTTTTCGCGGGCCGTGAGGCCTCCCTGCGGGTCGTGGAGGCCTCCCGGGCCCAAAAAAAAATGAACCGGGTCCAGTAGGCCCGCCAGAATCTTGAAAAACTGGCGGCCTATCTGGGCCGTCGATCTGATGAGATCGGCGGCACAGATAGGCCTCCAGTTTTTGAACATTCGGGCGGGAAACCACCTGAAGTCCAACTGGCCAGCGTCGGCCCCCGCAACCCCGTGTGAAGCCTTCCTCGTCACTTCGACACTTCGTCGCAGTGACGAGTGCGGGAAACCACCCGACTTTCAACTGCGCCCCTCGTCACGCCGGGCACGGCACGCCATCGCCTCCCCCCCCCCGTCATTCACCGGTCAAGGTAAGTGTTTGTATCTTTCTTCTTCTTCTTCTTCTTCTTCTTCTTCTTCTTCTTCTTCTTCTTCTCCTTCTTCTTCTCCTTCGTCTTCCGTTTCTACTTCTTCTTCTTCTTCTTCTTCTTCTTCTTCTTCTTCTTCTTCTTCTTCGTCTTCTTCCTCCCCCCTTCTTTTCTTCTTCTTCTGGCATAGCCGAAGTCTCCGACTCCCAAAGTTTTCGACGCCCGAAGATAGATAGATAGATAGATAGATAGATAGATAGATAGATAGATAGATAGAGATAGATAGATAGATAGATAGATAGATAGAGAGAGAGAGAGAGAGAGAGAGAGAGAGAGAGAGAGAGAGAGAGAGA